ACACACACACACACACATGCATATATATATATATATATATATATATAAATATATGTAAGGGTGGGTTGTTACAACCCCTTGTGGTGTTAGTTTTTCTCTGGGCAGTAGAATGCCTGAGGATTTTATTGCCGGGGTAAAACAACAGACTGCCTCGCGCCCGCGTCATTAGAGACGTGCGATTGTTTACGCACACTCAATCATGGCCGCCGCGCATGCTCTCCATGCGCTAAGCTCAAGGTCACCATGGTGGTCCGCGAAAAACCTTTTATCGGATTATGTTACGGCGCTGGGATTTAATTAGTTCTTAATTGTAATTTATATTTCGATAATTGTCCTTTGTGTCTTGCGCAATAGGTAAACTTTGCTGTATTACTGGAAACGCATTTGCGTGGTATTTCGTATCAGTATGCTGAATATGTTTATCTACATATGCCACTGTGATGTACCGTACGTATCAGTACGCGTGTTTATATGTGCCATAGTGCTTAAAACGGCATGTTCTCGCAGCAAAATGCATAGACATACCTACTGTGAGCTCGTCTATGTTGCAAAAGCTCACTACAACTCATTTGTATTAATACTTTCATAACATTTCTTCACAAAATTTCAACGAGAGTATTTGTCTTACGAAAGTAGCGTCACAGTGATGCTTACACATCCGGGACACAGCCGAGCGATCGTTATAGCAGTTCGTTTCTATGATAAGTTATAATTTATTATTATGTTCGTTCACTACACAATTGTGAAATTTGTTTAAATCACATGTTATCCACATTACTTATGCAATCAGGAAACAGATATAGTGTTTTCCTTCCAGGAACTATTTGCGCTAGCGTACCCTCTTCGCTCAACATAATTTATGTGTATCTGTTGTAGTACGTTGCAGTATCCAAATTTCACATCGACGCAACGGAACGTATCTATACGCCGAATAACTCTGTCGGACATTGTTTCAAAATCCTCTAGTTCGGAGCACATTTCTGGCTCAAACAGAACATTTCGTGATATTTTCATACTGCAAGTATGCTCACAGTAGGTGTATGTAGGCTTTTTGTTGCGAGGTTTATCCACTTTAAACCATAATCGCGCGTGTGTTAAACCATACGTCCGTGTTTGCTCGCTCTCAGCTCTTCATCTTCTCCTGTTGCGTATAGGTGACCATGTCGGACCGGGTGTCAGCGGACAGGGCGTGTAAGGATCCGAATCCGATCATAGATGGCAGGAAGGCGAACGTCAACCTCGCTTACATCGGCGCCAAGCCCAGAGGCAATGCCACCGGATGTAAGCTGCACTCACTAACGATTAATATAGCGATCAGTATCGATTAGTATCAATAAATATCGATTATTATAGATCAGTATCGATTAGTATCCGTTCGGAAATATTAGTGTCGGCTAGTAAATATTAGTATTGGTTGGTATCAATTAGTATAGACATGTAGAACGTATCATTTGCTTTTGAAACCGATCCGCGATAGCGCTAAGGAGTCATGTCCGCGCTTCCCTAGCAGCAGCTGTTGGGCGTTAGCAACCGGCGGGTCTCAGGCTCACGCACGCACACACACACATACACACACGCACGCACGCACGCACGCACGCACGCACGCGCTCACTCACATTTGTTCCTCGTGTCGAGAGCCAATCGCGTGGTCTCTCCCTGAGCGTGACGTCATCAATCTTCGCCGCCGCTAATTGTTCCAACATTTAGCAGCGATCGGCAAAGTCACGTAACCCCTAGCTTACGGCGGGCGGCGGGCGGGCAGAAAATCAACAAATAGTTAATTAACAGGGAAGCAGCGTGCTCCCGTCCTCATCGTCGGCTTCACGGGGAACGAGGTGTCAGGAGAGATGAGGGAATGCTGGGTTAGTTCGCTAATTGCTCAACATCGTCTTTTGCCGCGTTCTTTGCTCGCAGGCGCCTCTGTTACAGACACCCGCACGTGCATTCACGCGTGGGCCGGAGAAAGCGTGGCTGAAGCGAAGGTGCGCACTGAGAAGAGGGGGCGAGACTTAGGGAGGGAGCGAGCTTGGAGGATGGCCGACGAGGCTGGGGAGGGGTGAGGCTGGAGAGAAGGAGCGAGACTTAGGGTGGAAGCGAGACTTAAGAAGGAAGGGGAGCAGGCGCTTGGCTGGGAAGAGAATGGGAGGCAGGTGGAGCGAGGTTAGGGAAAGTAACCTGAATGCGGAGGGAAGCGAGCGTGAAGAAGGGAGCAAACTGAAAGAGAAGGGAAGGAGATATGGAGAAATGGGAAATAGAATACTGAAAACAAAATAGCGAGCGAAACAATATGTGCGTGTGTGTGCGTGTATGTGTGAGCGTGCGTATTATATGTTTGTATGGGTTGTGTTAATGGCTGTGTCAAAAGGGAATGATAGAAATGTAAATGAAAAGTGGGGAGGGGGAAAGCGAAGATAGGAAGACCAGTGAGATGAAAAGGGATAAAAGGATCAGGAGAGATGTAGATGAAGAAATCCGAGGCGGCCCAACATTGGCGTCTATACGGCTCGTTTTAATTCCACCAGCTCCCCTCTCTTCACCGCCGATTTTTAATGATTTATTTACCCAACTTCATATTTTCTTCAACAGCGTTCCGTATCTCTGCCCGTCCTCTTCGTTTAGAGTGGCGCTAATGTCTGTCAGCTGCGCATACCCGCGCGCGCACCCACGCGCAATATAATCCTCCGCGCAGCTCGTTCTGGATTGCTAGCATGCACTACTTTTTTGTTCATCTCGGTCCGCGCATCAGCTGAGATAAATGATAACTATATAGCGCGTGTATATATATATATATATATATATATATATATATATATATATATATATATATATATATATATATATATATATAT